AAATACTGGCCATTTAATAAATTGAATCTGTATATTTTCAGAACATATTATTCATAACAAACGACATCACTAGTTTTACACAATGTGACCTTAATGGATTAACTGCTACCAGTAAAAGACACATGGAGTCACTGACCACTTCTGGTCAGTGGTCATGTGACCAGAAGAGGGCGATGGTGGTGGGTGTTGTAGCACAAAAGCCTATATGTAGTAAGTTACCCTAAAAGATCTGGAGGTGGCACATTAATTAGTGTTGATACTTTGAGAGTAATTTAGAGTACTCATACAAGTATAGATATATGGATACCAAAGAATGGATACTGTCGTCACTAGCCTTCAGTCAGTGAATGACAGCACAGACCCCTCCCAGAGGTGAGAGTGCTAAGGTAGGGGATCGTTTAACTAGCTAACGCCGATGTGCTATAATCCATATTGAATTAGCAGGAAACAGCGGCCGTACAGACAACATGAAGCCTACTCCTCAGTGAGCAGAGAGATTGAGAAGAAGAAAAAAAAAAATCCCTTTTGTTCATGTAGCTTATTTGCTGCACCATTACAGTCTGAACGTGCCATAAATTATTCATAGTGGGGTTTTTTTAGGAGAGAAAATTTTCGGCTACAATTATAGAGAAGCCATTTTAATGCGGGAGATTTGCAAACACGTTCACCACGTACACCCACAACATTCAAATGGAACTCCTACAGCATTTGTCAGTGCAATCAGCTCTGCAGGGGACGCTGGAGCTTCTGAGACAGCAACCACACACAGCAGCGGATCAAGGTTACACACACACACACACACACACACACACACACACTCCCACAGTTGCTGCTGTATTTACCAGGCGACATTTACACAATGTTCTGCTGAGAAGAACATAATAGTAACCAGGCCTCAGTTCGTACAATGAGATGAGCTGTATTAAAATTTACAAGAAAAATATTTATCATTTATGAACATGATAGTATTCATGAAATTAATCTAGCCTAGGCCACAAACAAATCACATCAACCAATTAGCATAATCTATATTCAACTCTTAGATTAGCTAAAAACGACCAACGCTTTCTGTAGAATCCAACCCAGAACAAAAGCTGTACTTTAGAGGTTTCTGTGAGTCTAGTTTGGTTGTAAATACACGGGTCCTCGGTTTATGACGTCCTCAACTTACAGCGTTTCGTGGTTATGTCTCCATCACTTTATCAACAAAGCCTTGTTCCATCAATCCGACATATTTTGCAATTTTGTGAATTCGTCGGCGGATGAATACGTCACGCTGTGGTTTTGTTTACATTCTCTGATCGTACTTCATACACAGGACTGTGCTACAGTCGCTTCCTTTTATTTATGTTGTAGTTTTGGGAACTGTTTGCCCTTCATTATGGCTTCCAGGTGTAAGTCAGACTCCTCTGATGCTTTCTGGGACATAAGACAAGGACTCCTTTATATCTAAGACCTGGTTTAATAAACATTTGAATTATTTCTATTCGGGGAGCTACGGTAGTTGTCAGCTGACACTTAAGATACAATACAGTATATATATCAGAATGTACACTGCTGTTGTCAATGACGTGGATGGTGACCTTGAAGTCCTTCAGCAATATTGCATTACAATGTGTCATTTCTTTATGACAGACACTCACATGGACATGAAATATACCTCACTAACTCAGAGTCTTATGAAAGCCTTTGTTAACTTGGTGCAAAAACCTTGTCAGGTTCAATAGAATCACACTCATCAAAAATATTTCTTGTCAGATTTGCTTTGCTTGTAAATCTGAAAAATTAAAAATACATACGCTCCTGTCTAGATGATGAGTTTTCCCTTATTAAAAATAAATATTTATAAATCTAGATACTGTGTAACAGCAGTGTCAAGTTACCAACTTTGTTGTCAGTCGGAGCTAACCAGAGCAGGAGCTGTTGTACTTTTGAAAAGTTTTAATGCACACTTTTTGTTGAGGTAAGAAATTCATTTATTCATTTTGTAAATTAATGCTCTAAAGTTAAAACTGTATCTCCTGTCTTATGTCACGGCCACTACAATTCAGTCCATTTTACAACCAAAGCCATTTCTTTTGTTTGTAGTTTTTTTTCATGGAATTTCATGTTAATAGTTCGTCTTTTGACCAACATAAATATTTTGTAGATTTTTCTAAATTGATTTTGTTTCTCATTAAAAGTTGTACAATGCAATAAAAACTTATCACTAACATATAACATTTCCTTTTAACATTTCCATTTCATGTTTTTACTTTGCTGTGGCTTTGTTGCTTTGCAAAAACAACAATACCAAAACTACTTTTAAATAAAAATGTGATAATGAGTTTAATACTTATTCTCTACAGAGTATTTTTTTTTTTTTTTTGCTACAACAACAGAATTGAGAAGGTATAGTCACTTGATTTATGGTGCAAAGATACGGTGACGTTCCGCATGCAAAACATTGCAGGTAGCAGAATTCTCAGGTTGTTTTTTACCCGGGGCTTGAATACCAACACAACACAAGCACTGAAGAAAATGGAAGGTGTTTTTAACTGGTGTGACCAAACAGGGACCACCGGTGACGAGAACGTTGTAGCGTTTTAATTAGGGCTGGTCGTTAACTTGGTCCTGAAACAATCGAGATCCTCATTAACTCTGATCTAATGAGTCTTCCAGCTGGTTGTTGCTAAGTATACAGGACGGCTGACTTCCACTGACCGTCCACTTCACTGACTTCACTGCATTCAGGGAATCTGAGTAACATGTTAGACACTGCAATTAACAAGTGTTTAAAAGTACTGGGAAACATGTGGCTGATCTGTTGGATGCACAAACTGCAGTAAAAGTATGTTTGCTGTACTAGGTTTTTAGAGAATGTGAAACATTTCTGTTAAGGGTTAACTTTACCTCAAAGGTCACTGGAGCAGTAACAAAACAACTAACAAACAAACAAATAATACCCCTAACTCTAACCTGATAAAATGAACCGCATCACTTTAGCAAGTAGTAACCCATGTCTATCAATCGACACGGTTGTACATTTTTAGCTATATGAGGATAAGAGATCAGATGAATGAATGGTAGATGAAACAAAGTATTATATATTTTGTTTCAGTTATTGAAAACTCAAGCAGAAAATGCATTAAAATGCAAATGCATGCAAACTGTTCATGACAGTGTTTAGATTCACTTTACCTACAACATGGTTGAAGACTTTAATAGAAGTATCAAGTACAACAGGGGTAAAAACTAGATCCAGCGGCAGAATGAAAAGGGAGTAGTAGTAGATCATGAGTTATATATATATTATATTATTAAATATAATTCTATAGTGTGTAGTAGTGACCAAACACTAAGAATTGGATCAGACTGTGCCACAGAACTACAGCACTTGGATTTAGTCAGTATCCCAACATGTTATTTATACACAAAGTATTTGTAGCTTATATGTGTAAATATATATTTAACGCTTCCAACGTAGGTAGAACCCTTTGGTCTGGTCATTTCAATGGTGGCTCCAAGTCACAACATGTGGACAAGATATAAAGGAGCTTCGTTCAATCATTCAGTTGTTCTGGTTCACAAGATTCTGGTTGGTCACTCAGTTATGGTTTTGTGTGTGTGTTTTTAGTTTGTGGTAGTGTTTGGCAGACCAACAGGTCACCATGAAGACTAACAGGTTACCAACGAGACCAACAGGTCACCATGAAGACTAACAGGTTACCATGGAGACTAACAGGTCACCATGGAGACTAACAGGTTACCAATGAGACTAACAGGTCACCATGGAGACCAACAGGTTACCAATGAGACCAACAGGTTACCGTGGAGACTAACAGGTTACCATGGAGACCAACAGGCCACCATTACCTGAAGTTACTGTTTATAAAGTTGTTAGTCACAAACAAATAATACCCCTAACTCTAACTCTACCTATAAATTGTAATGGTGACCAACAGGTCACCATTACCTGAGGTTACTGTTTATAAAGTTAGTTAGTGTGTAATGTCAGCACCACACCGGCCTCCTGATGAAGCCAGACATGTGATGGGAGAACAGATTCTGTTTTTATTGACAGACAGATATTAACACAAGAAGCAATTGAGCATTGATTACTCTCATAAAGTCTTGATACTGATTAATAAATAAAAAGGGAAACTTACTACACCAGATATTTGACCAATTTCTAACTTTTATGATCAGGACTGAAGTTGATCAAAAGATAAGAAAAACATTATGATTTTTGAAGAGGAAATCCTTGTCCTTTAATAGTCAAAATTAAACTATTTAGGTCACACTGTGTAAAACTGAAGACATTTCATGTAATGCAGTACTGATATCAGTATAGAAAAAAAAAAAAACAAAAAAGAGGAATTGGTATCGTACTGAATCAAAAAATCTGGTACCACTCATCACGAGTCTGTAGTCTCTAGTTTAGACAAAATAAACACCAAAGACCAGAATAGTTCACTGTACGTGGCTTTGTCAAATATTCTAGAAAAGACTGGTGCAGTTACTGTTGCCACACATGCTAATGTAAACATCACACTAATAACTACTTATATTAGTAATAAGACACCAGTAAAGCTGCAATATAATGATGCATGGTTACCATCATATAAAATATTGTCTGGGTTAGAATTACATTTCCAGTCAATATTATGCGACATCCCTATAAAAAATACTGTAAAATGACAGTTAATCCAATAAGACAGTGATGTGATTGTATTTGGTTTCCACACAGAGTAGCACTTTATTGGGTTCTAACAGATAATTGCACCGCCTAACAGGTACGTCCTAATTATTAGTTGGACGAAGAGATACAGTGGCCGCAGATGATACAAGATGGAGAATGAAAACAAATCTAGACAAGATAAAAATATGTATGTGAGAAGATAAGTGTACGATACAATAACAGAGGACCCTCCTCACACTGAACTTTATGACTTACTTAAATAGAACCAATGCAGGTTTAGATGAGTCATGGAGGGGCTAGTCCTCTGTAGCTAACTTACCTCTGTGGGCATTTGCAGCCTATCAAGTTGAAGGAAGGTGGGCGTGGAGTCTGGGCGAGAGAGAGAGGGAGAGAGGAGGTAAGAGTGATTTGCGGTGTATATTACCTATTTTGTGGCGTTGTCTACGGCGTACAGTAGTCTGTGTACAAGAGTACAAGTCTGGCTTGTACTCTTCAAGTCTTTAGAACTTGGCAGTATCATCACTGTGTGCCGGGGACCGCCATTTGTAACTGATTAGATGCTAATATATTTGTAATTCATCTTCAGTGAATTATCAATGTGAATTTAGTGCTTTCAGATGATGAGGTGAACATCAGCCAACACTGATGTTTATCAAATGAATCACTACTATTAACCCTTATTTGTTTACACAGGACTGTGTGACTAATGAACGATTGTTTTTCCAGACGTTGGCAAGTGATATTACCTGTGGGGATAAACTATTGACTATTTATTTTTTTCCATTGGATGACAGGCTTTAATTTGGCAGCCAAGAGGAAACGTTTCTCTTTGTGAATGTCTCTTTTATGCATCTTTCACACATCCGTACGGACCAAATTATATTTATGGTTTACACTCAGGCTGACAGCATTAGCCAAAGTATCAAAGATTCTTACAATTATTCACAATTTAGAAAATCTAGCAATAACAAAGTTGTTCCTACGATGGCACTGTTCAAACTTAAACAGCTGGTGAAACTATAATTATATTATAGCAGATTATCACGACCACTGTGCTATGGTACACTGGTGGCTATGAGGTGTGCGGTGGAAAATCATTAAAATAACTTGCCTGAACATTATTTATTTACTGCTAATAACTTAGTAAATAAAATAATCCCAAAAGACTGGATTGCAACCCTCAGGTAGGTCGCAAGAGATTTTTTTTTTTTTTTTTGGGGGGGGGGGGGGGGTCCCACATCATGTTTTCAAGGAGTTTACGAATAATGTCTATTGACTTGGGGCGTGAAGGTTTGTGACTTTTCAAATATGGATCGTTAGAAAAAAAGTTTGGGAAACACTGCCCTAGACAGTAGATCACGACTTAAACATGGGAGGGATTTAACTGAAACATTACATTTCGGACTTTAACTGGAGCATTTGGCTCTGACTCGGGTGTAGAGACCCCTGGTTAACTTACAATCTCCCATGTATAACTTTAACACACCATAGCTCCAATGTAAACAAACTCATCGGACATAAATGAGCATTTGCAACGGCATATTGCAACAACATTAACATTTATTATCACACACAAAAACAGGCAATCGCCTTTTAAAATGTCGTGATGACCCTTGCAACCAATAAAATAAAACCGGGGGTTTCATAAACTCGGTTACGGTGCCGTTGCAGCGCACGTTGGAGCTCATTATAAATCCCCTCAAAAAAAAATAAAAATGTCTTCTTAAACTTACTGATTCGTAGAAACACAGGCAGGGTTAGCAGCCTGTTTTGCGGGAACTCTGAGACGAGGCGGAGAAACCAGTCAGATCCGCGGTACAGCGGTAGTAGCTGGAAGTTCCGATCACCCTCCGTGTGCAGTGGTGAGCATCCGTAGCGGCAGGATGCAGACCGACATGCAGGCTTCGAGGCACACTACACAGAAATGTACAGCAATAACAAACTCAGTATTCCCTCAGATAACGTTCATATAGTCACCAGTTCACACTCACTCGATAACTTGACGAAGTCTCCTTCCAGTTAACGACGGCGGCGTGGCGCGTAAAACCCACAAACCAAAACCAAAACTCCAACGGAACAACTTGTGTTTTCCCCCATTGTCGTCTCTGTCTTTAGTTCCACCCCTGCACAGTTAACGCTCACCTCTGATAGGCGCTAATTGGCTAATAACTGACACCTGATAACCGGCATGACACATTCAAAGACATCAAAAAAACTTAGTCCATTTTAGTTGCCAAACCACACATTCCACTATGTTTGTTAACAAAACAAACGTTTATAGAAACCAAACGTAACCATTTGTAGCAGGGAACACAAGAAGTTCATGTAAAATTGTACATTTGCATATACTGCATTTCAATGTACTTCATATTCCTTGTGTGAAGTTTTTGTTTGGTGTTTTTTGGGGGTATTTTTTTCTTGTTTTTTAGAATTATATGGATTATAATGTTGTAGGTCTTATTATAGGCTTTAACATTAAGCATTGTTTATCAGCTCCACACCTGAGAACATCTATGTCTATGTCTCTGCTTTTCATCTTTATTTATAATCTGATAACTGAAATGTATGAACTTAATGTTCCAATGTGAGCACTTCATATTTTGTTGTACTTTTCATATACCCGATGCATAAAGTTCATTTTATTTCCTAGTTTCCCTGGGGAGGTTAGGGGGCGTGGAACCGATCTGACCTCCGGTGAACAACAGGCACCACAGTTAATAAAGGGTCTGTATTTAAACGAACAATTGAACTGAAATGACCAGAAAATGTTGACCTCTCCATCAGCCAATTAGCTGTTCTAGCTAAAAACAGCCACTGTTGCTATTACCCCATGTGTCGTAGTAATTCTAATATGAATTTGATAATTCTGTGAATATAATTGGAAAGTTTCCCCTCTTTAGTCTTTGGAAGACTTTTCTAAATTTGGCCGATCCGTAAAAAAGTGTGTGGAAATTAAACCAGTCTGTGACAGGAAGTCCAATTAAGAACCTGAACCAGTGTGGCTTGAGCTTAAACAGTGTAAACTATACTGATGTGGTTTAGCAGCATTGTCCTCCGCTGTGTGGAATAAACACACTCACCTTTAGACAAGGCAAAGCTGTGAACGCACCACTGTTCAGATGTCCATACCTTTAACACCTACACCTGCGTGTTAGTGGTTAGTGGTGATTTAACCAGAGTTTATACATTTATACTCTGTATTGGAGATCCATTTAAGGCACTGATAAATAATAGTAGTCAAATAAATTCAGCTTCTCTTTCAGTCTTTCTCTTCACCTCCTCCCAACACAGATTTTTAGTGGTTCACAGAGACATCATTAATTCATTAGCCCAGTGGTTCCTAACCTTTTTGGGCTTGTGACCCCATTTTGACATCACAAATTGCCGGCCTCCCTAGGGAAATTTTTTTCTCGGTCACGTGACCACAGCTGTCAATCTAGAAGTGCCAGCTCAGATATGTTTGTATGTTGCCTTTTATTTTTGAACTTGAACTATTTTATACAGAGAATACAGTTGTTTAAAATTGTGTGTGCTGTTATCATTCATAATTAAAAAATATAGAATAATTAGTTGAATTAATATTTTTATCGTATTTATTTTAAATCAACTCTAGACATTTCAGGTGACCCTATTTAAACTCTATGTGACCCCACTTTGGGTTGCGATCCCAAGGTTTAAAAAACACTGCCTTAGACAATTAGCCTTTACCATAATTATTACAAATATTTGTATAATTTTTATCCTCACTCAAGATCCAATCTGATCCTAACTCTGACCCTAACTCCAGATTAAATCTTCAACCATGAAGTATCCTGTCACTGGATACGCAGGAAAGTGCATATTCTCTGCAGAAAAACAAATGTCCCCAATACAATAGTATATTTTGTTGTAACGTTCCTGGAAGAATAACTCTAGACTTAAACACACACCAATATTCACAATTAGGCCTTAACAATACAAATTTGATTGAAAGATTTCTTATAGGTTGATACATAAACACAGCCGTCCTTCCAGTTTCATTCAGTAACCATGCACATCCTGTGCCAGAAGCAGGTTCATATCCCTGTCAGCATTACATCTCATGGAAAGCTTGGTGCTTGTGGAGATTAGATTTACTCTGAGCTGCCATAAGCACATTTCCTGACAGGTTATATGAAATAAGATTTTATTATGGGTGTTGGCCAGAAGCTGCATGTACGGGTGATTTGTAATAAAGCCAGTGCTGAGGTGAGTCAGCAAAGGGGTGACCTCATTACAGCAGCTGGACCACAGGAGGGAAAAAACACATTGACTAATTCATAGCAAACAAAAATAGCAGCGATGGACAAACGAAGCCTCATTTAGCTTCGAGGCTCACAGCCAATCCTTTAACAACTCATAAAAAGTTCATATGCACACAAATCACCTAATGGTCAAAAAAAGCCCTCCAGGCAGATCCTGCTCATTTAGTTTTTATTCAACATTGCTTTGTGTATTGTTTGGCTACACAAACCTTCACTATCAGTGAGTAATTCTGTCAAACTGTTGTTATTGTCCAAGTCTGATTGAATCACAGCCCAAAATTGTGTTACCCAAAGAACTAATCCATATATACAGTATGTGGAGACCCACATCGGTTTATATGCTGAGAGATGAAGCCAAAAATCCAACCAACTGCTGCACCACCTGCATGTGGACATCGGACATAGTCAGTGATGTCACTCACTGCTCCCTGGTTCTTAAAGCTGCCACTGTTCACTGTGGTGATGGGTTAAAAACAGAGGTCACATTTGGTTGTGTGCAGTGGTGAGCTGTGTCACAGTGACGAGGAGTTCACTTTTGCTTTACTTTCATATTGAGAGCTTAATTTAAGCACACAGAATATCTTTGTATAACTTTATGATAATGATGTAAGAAAAAAAACCACAAGGGAGCCAATTAGGTTCATAGGAATTATTCAACATTTTATATTCTTTTGTAGCAAAATGTTTTCAAACTTGAACATTTTTTTTTTGTTTACACCCCAGAACCGAGTCTATGTCAAGTTAAGTACAAAATTAAATGGTGTTCATATTTACCAGAATGAATGGGATCGTTCAATGAAGCTGTAGTTTGAGAGCGGGTTCACCCAAATCACCAAAACAAAGACAAACAAATCCAATGACACAAGGCTGTTCAGTAGTTTCAAATGCTCACCACATCTGGGTACTCACCACAAGTTCTGGCGATACATTTTTTTATAGTACATGCTGATGTTTTTTTAATATTCTGTATGAACAGACTAAATCAAAAACAAAGTCATTTCAAGCTGAGCAACATTGTTCACACTTCGATAAAGTGGATTTTAAGAACAATTCTTACTGTAGAGTCAGTGTGAGGTCATGGTTATGAAAACATGTGGCTCAGTAATGTGTTTGGTAATAAGTTGGCAGAATTTCACAAATAAACTGAATCGTGCATGAAAATACTTTAAATACACTCAAAAACAAAGAAATAATTTTGTACATTTTAAATTGTCTTGATAAATGAAGTATTTCATTTTCTAATTTTGTAATTGTTGTTTACTTTAATTCAGTACCAAAGGAGAAAATAGCGTTTTCAAAAGATTTGGGTTTTTTTTTTTTGTACGAAATGTGTATTACTTACTGGGCAAAAAACAATGCTTTTTCAAATGTTTAGTACAAATAGAAGACACAAATGAAAAAGTTTTGTTTTGTATTTGGGTGAAGGGACGCTTCAAAAACAGTTATGAACTTCTCTCTACTTGACTTGACGTAAAATTCAGTCTCAGTAAATCCAATTATTAGGACCGTGTTGGTAAACTACTGCAAAGCACCGTCTTACTGTTGGTTTATCATGAAAATAGTCCTACTTTAAGACACCCAACCCTCCCTGCTCCTTTTATATTCTCCCCCATTTATTGTACAAAAAAGCAAAATTACAGAACAGTTCACCTAGGGAAAAAAATAGATGACTACCCTCTTCATGAAACACAGAGGAGAGGATGACAATACTGCGAAAGGCATCAAACATGTTTATGAAACTTCACTTCATGACCCTGCAATGTAAAGTCAATGTTCAAAGCCAAAGAAATTGCTTTGATGAGTTATTTTAAACAAACAAAAATTAAAATTGTAATTTCGGCTGTTTGGCTTAGGGTCAAATGTATCTCCTCCTCCTCCTCCTCGTGTTACTCTAATACATCTTGAAATAAACTCACTCTTCAATTTAAACTGCATGAGTGCCTCAGTCACTCTCCATCACTGGTGTGATTCTCCAAGAATTACAGCCAAATGGTACATTCTGCAGCAAGCCTAAAAGGGTCGGATGGATTTTGAAGAACATTCAAATACGGTGGCTACTGTAAGATGTGCTGATAAAATCTGAAACCGTATCCTGAGAGAACACTCTGCAGCCTGGGCCTTCCAGCTTTCAGGGTCAACTGTCGCCAGTGCTAATCAATGAGGAAATGGTATCAAATTATTTGGCCAAGTATATTTTTGCACAGGATTTTAGCACAAACCGGAAAGAAGTTTATCAGTGTTTTACTACAGTTTTCTGTTGGTTTATTGAATGTGTCTCATTTTATTTTCTATAGCCTTCGGTACAAAACCATCCAGGCTGTCTGAAGAACTGTTCTGTTATTTGAATACAGGAGGTCCTCGGTTTACGATGTCCGCGACCTACGGCGTTGGACTGTTGTGGCCTCACCCCCTACATAAAAGTTTATTAAGAAAGTCGGGTTCCCTCATACCGAAGAGAAAGACGGCTCTGTTTACATTCACTGGTATATATTTTTTTAACCATTTTGCCCTTCATAATGACTCACAAGCACGGTTCTGTCAGAACAAACTGTAGAGGAGAATAAATTCAACAGCTCACTGTCCCTGTGGTCTTCTTTGCTGTTCAACTGTTTCCCAGCTAACATGTTCCGTTTTCAAACACTTTTTTGGATATGTAATACTCAAGGTCCGACTTATGATGAAAATTCGAGTTACGACACCGTTACAGACCTAACCTCGATGTAAGTCGAGGACCCCCTGTAAGACAAAGGTCAGAATGAACATTAATGAGGTTTCTTCCCAGGGTCATATCAACCTGTCACCACCTCTCCTCCCAAACAGGAGGGGGCGGTGTCAGAACGTTTTTTTTTTTTTTGCATAAAACCTGTGCCAAATCATTATGTAAAATAAATAAAAAGTCAAATAAAGTTAAAAACACAGATGAAATTAAAAAAATAGTTGCGATGTAGCACAACCCTGAATTTGATCGTAGCCCGCTGATAATTTATTCAAATAATAAATATTAAAAATCATAGGAAAACATGATAGAAGAAAATAAAGATGACTTTGTTTCTTTTGCTTGCTCCCCAGGTCCTTCATTGCACTGTAGTAGTCCCATTCCACGTAGTAGTCCCATTCCATGCTGAGTATCCATAACACTGATACGTACATGTTCTTTTAGTTGAGGCAAATCCTCAGAGTTTTCTTTTCTTAATGAACACACTTTTAAGTTACACATGTCGCAGGAAGTTTGTGTTTTTCTGTGGATTGTGGAATATGAGTTTCACATCGGAACATTCCTGGAACTGTCATATGAGTCTTTTTCTGTTATGATCATGGCCAAGGATAACGTTTCAGTGTCTTTCTGCACATATAAACGTAGTATTCACAAGATGAACATCATTCCTCTGAAACAGCACTTCTTCAGAGCTCAGGTCTCCACAGTTCCCATCGGGGTGTTATCTACGGACCTGAAAACGAATTCACCGACTTCAGACTGTGCTCTCCATCACCCACTCTGAGCTATCAAAAGTGTGCTTCTCTTCCTCGCTGTCGTCCAACTGCAGCAGCATGCCATTGACAGACAAACTGCGTTTAGTCCAGATGTTACTGATCCTGCGAGGGTGGGTGTTTTGACACTGCGTGGTCCCCACATGACCCATATCAAAGGAATGGCTCCTCTTGGGCTTCCCCTCCTGAGGCAACCCAAGGAGCCGTCCGAGCATGGTAGTGGACTCTCCTCGTCCCAGCAGGGGTTCCTTGTCAGAGGCAGGAGCTTTAGTCACTGCTATAGTATTGGTAGCGGAGGACGTCCCAGATGTCCCTGCCTGATCCCTTGTTGCCCCTCGCAGCTCCATTGAGGTGAAGGCTCCCAGGAGGTGGTCTAGATTTGGACGTGCTTTGGTACCGTGCCCATGCCTTCGAAATTTGCTGCTGGGTAGTGTGCTGCATTCACTGCCCTGCATCGTGTAGCTTCCTCGAGCCCCCTTCTCTGTTTGGCCCTCTAAGGAATTACA